GGGCCGGCTACCGGGGCCCACGCGTGCCCCTCCGTCGGTGGGACCCCCGCTGCCGGCCAGGCCGGCCCCGCCGGCAGGCCTCTCCGGGGGAGGCCGCGGGACGCGGGTACATACAGGAGTCTCGTAGGCAAGGGCAGATTCGGTTTTCGGCTTTAGTTTTTCCTTTTAACCATGCCTTTTTCTGTTTGGTTTTGTTTTTTAACCTTTAACTAGATGTCGGTGCCCGAGCCACTGCCACACTTATTCCCAAGGTAAGACTTAATTTGTGCCTCCAAAATAACTCTGTAGGAGACTATGGATGGCCCTGTAGAGCTGTACGTAATCCATGTAACCTGGGCAGAGGGTGCAGGTAACAGGTAGGAAAGAGAACAGTTTCAAGGCTGAGGTAAGCGGTCTGTTATTTTGCAGCCGTACCATGATAGTGGTTATTGTTGGAGAGATTCACTGTTTCCACGTAAGTCACAACTAATACAACCTGTCCCTCCCTCCCCTAGTTGTGTGGCAAGTTGAGGAGAAATTTGCGGTGGCTGCTACTACTGCTTGTCATCACCTGAGCCATCTCAGCTAAAGTTTTGAGGGGAAAAATACGCATCTATTGCATTAGAAAAGAAACAGGAAGCAATATGAATAAAAAATGAGCTATTCACAAACATCTGCTTTGGCTTGGGGAATGTAATCTCCACAGGCTTTTTTATAGTCAGTCCTGAGAATGCGGCTCACTTAGGCCACGGTTGTGGGGTAAGAGCAGGTGAGCTGCACTGAGTGACCGAGTCACCCTGGGAGGAATTTTTGTTTGCAGTAACTGTAGGGAGTCTATACAAACAGCTAACTGTGAGATGGTCAGTCTCCAGATGTTCTTAATCTTTTGATGCATCCCTTGTGTACCATGTTTAATACTCTAAAGCTACCTAGAAGATAAAATAGATATATTTTCTATAAAAAGCAATATTTTTGGCCATAATTTCAGCAATGTGTAGTTCTGAGTAGCTTGGTTTCGCATGATTTACTTAAGATACTTTTTAAAGGATTACCATTATCATTTCATGTATGGAAAAGCTAATATATGTTCTGATATTTGTTTTGCCCAAGACCATCATACAGCAAGACAATAGCGCAGCTGAGAAATAGAATCTCATTCTTCTGCTTGTCTGCTTGATGACCTACTCAGTCAATTCAAACTAAGCCCTTGTTAAATAGAAGTATTAGTTAAGAACCCTCTCTGTAAGTTGTAGTCAGCAATTGAGTCTATAAAATAGTGAGGTGGTATCAGTTCAGTAAGCCTTTAAATAGTGGGAATTGATTTAACTGACTGTAGCAGAAAAAAAATGTTCATTGTATTTCTTGACATTGTTTGAGGAAACAGTGCAATTTTTGAACTCAGTAAAATTCTTCCTGCAAGTTAAGTTTGGCCCAAGAATATAACAGCAGGACACCTATTATATTATCAGAAAGCAAGAGAGTAAATGGCTTGGACATGTTCTTAGCCTGTCAAATTAATGACTGAGAGTACAGCAGACAAACTCCAGGAGAGGTCAAACATGTACAGCCTGGCAAGAGATGGCAATGAAAGAGCTGATAGCAGCTGGCCTGGACTTGAATAGAAAGTGCATAAAGGGTTTTAATACATCTATCTGTTACTGTTGTGGGTCAGTGCTTCAGTGCACCCCAGAGTGTCTGTAAGACTCATTATCATGGCTTCACTCATTGGATCTGAATCCAAACCACATATTTTCAATTAATATAGCAGACAGAAGGCATGACTTCAGCAGGAAGAACAGAATGCCTCATCTGATCTTTTCTTGGAGAAGAATGGGCTGTTTCAGTTGTTGCAGTTTGTTTCACTTTGTGGAAAAATCAGGATACGCAAGAAATGGAGGGATTTGTAGAAATTCATGCAAGAGTGATGTGGCAGAGAGGATGTGACTGAAATACTAGCTTAATAAATTTATTCTTTCTTCTATTGGATAAAGTTGATAGTGACACACCAGTTCTTATTAAAACTCTGTTTATTATTATCAGTGCACACAGTTTCTTAATTTCAAGCAAGCAATTCAGTTTCACCAGCAAGTTCAGGACTAGGCAGAAGTAAAGAGGATTATAAACACCTATCAGTATTACTCTCACACATGCAAAAGATGTTCTCTGGGTGCATATGGAGGATGTCTCATAGGTTTGTTTTAAAAGTTGTTCTGAAGATTTTCTTGTAGCCCCTATAGGTTCCTAACACCTCTCAACCTGTATGTAGCAGCCTGTATGCTCTTCAGATACTGGCTTCTGCATAGTTACTATGTACAGTTCTGGTCTTTGCATACTGCCAAAAAATTCTCATGCAGACTTCTGGCTAAGTTAGTCAGTTTTTATAGGAAATAATTCATTCTCGAAAGGAGGAAAACACCCTTGCATTGCTGAATTGTATGAATCAAATTAAGTAATTATATCGTTTAATATCTCAAACAACAAGGGACGAAATAGGTAACTGTTATGCAGACAAGCCAAGATGACCTGGGCAAATGGATTAGTGATTTTAAAAGCAAAGGAATATGTCCACTTTAAGACTGAGATACAGATTGAAGTCACATTTTGTTCCCTAATTCTACTGTTTCATTTCTATTACAGTTCCTGAACAGCATGCCCTGGGAAGTACAGACTATGCGTTTGAGGTAGATTAAACATAGAAGAATAAAATACATTTTATTTCAAAGTAGTATTTTGTATACTTTCAAATATGGCATTTAACAAGTATTTACATTAGTAAATATTTATATTTTGCTTTGCTTGGGAGTAGATGCCATTTCTTCAGTTTTCCAGAAAAAATATGTTGTTCTTTTTTTGGTAGATGGCCATTTCAAACATCCGATATGGAGAAGGAGTTACCAAAGAGATTGGCATGGTAAGCTTCTGTAGTGGCAGTCCATCACTGGTGAACAGTTATTTTCTAAAGGACTGCTGGTGCTATCAATCCATTTTATAAGGGAAAGCTTATGTGTGGTGTGTCTAAATCTCAGCTGCTTTGCAGTATGTGCAGTCATACATACCTTTGTAGAAAGGTCGGAAAATACTTTTGGGTAAAGAAGAGAAGCATGCTACATCAGTGTTGCTGTGGTATAAGTGAGTACATGAAATACAGCTTAGTGGAAATCAGATCACTGATGATTTGACAGGATTATGCAACAGTGTTTTTCTCTGACAAGGAATTGAATTCAAAAAGTTCTGAATCCTGGTGACTCACCAGGATTTTCTTAGGATCACTTTCACCTCTTCCAGTGCTCATTAAAATGAATCAATCAGAGACTTTCCATTAAGTTAGGTGGATATTCTTTCAGCTCCAAGTGTTCCCTGTGGAAGTGTAGGACATTTTGGCAGTGTGAGATGATTCACCCGAGTATATTGTTCCAGTTTGCCTTTATCTTTTTTTTTTTTCTTTTATCATTTTTTACTCTCTTCTTGGCATTTATAGCATTAAAAGTTTTCTTTTTAATTTGCAAATTTGTAAAGTAAATTAACAGTCAGATAGCAAATTATGTTAGAACTTCTGTCTTTAAACAGCATTAGGATTATTTAGATTTGAATGTTTTATATAGCTATTGTGACAAGTAATTTAGCAAAGATTAGGATGTAGCATTATCTTCTTTTTGCCACCTTATTTAGATTTTTCGTCAACAAATTAATATTCAGTAATAGATTTTCAAGATTTTAATGCCATGCTTTGATAGGCGGTTAGGGGAGACCTAACCTGTGGAAGTCTTTTTATGTCACAGGAATTGTGTAGGTAAAAAACATTTTAAAAAAATAATTCACATTTTACTGTAGTCTTAAGGAGTTCCACGTGGTCTTTGCTTGCTCAACATCTTTAGCATTAGTTTTCTTCTATCATAAGACTTCAGCTATGTAAGTTTGGCAGCTTTCTACTTCATGCTGTTTTCAGCATGGTGTATGTATGTGGTTAATCTCTTTAGCTGATACTGTTTCAAAAATTTTACAATAAACATTTTTAAGTTGAGTTTTTGACTATTATTATATGGTTTGGTTTATTTGGATTAGTATTCAAATGTGTATGATTTTATACCAGTTGTTTCGTTTTTTAATTTCATTGTTATTGTAGGACCTGCAGAATCTTGGTGCTAGAAGAGTTTGTCTGATGACAGATAAAAACCTCTCCCAACTCCCTCCTGTAAATGCAGTATTGAATTCCTTGACAAAATATGGTATAAACTTTCAGATGTATGATAATGTCCGGGTGGAGCCAACAGACCACAGGTACTACTTCTGAGAGTGCACTTCTCCAAGTAGTGCCTAGGCTTTTACAACATGCCATACAACTGTTGAAACACCTCCTTGTGACCTGTATGCTGGTCTTGTTAGTTTCTCTGTGTGCTGTTTTTCTCCTGACTAATTGGAAAGCTTTCCTTGTTGTCCAAGTTTCCTGGATGCCATTAAATATGCTAAAAAGGGAGAGTTTGATGCCTATGTTGCTGTTGGAGGTGGATCTGTAATAGACACCTGTAAAGCTGCCAATCTGTATGCGTCCAGCCCTACATCAGACTTCTTGGATTATGTCAATGCTCCTATTGGGAAAGGGAAGCCTGTCACTGTGCCCCTCAAGCCACTTATTGCAGGTAAATCAGGAGGAGAGTGCAATGAAGATTGAGGGCTAGGAGAAGGGGTGTCATTCTACACTCTGTATGATATTTCTACTGAAATCAGTTTACTGTGATGGATTAGCTGTTTCAGCTTCCTTTGGGCTTACTTCTCATCTATTCAGCAGCAATTTTGCTGTTTACTTTGGTGGAAGAAAAATCACAGGTTTTGTCATTAGTAGTCTGTCTTGTTTAGCTGAGTTCGACTCCTTTTACTGAGAAAATAGATAAAAAGGGCAGTTTCTCTTTGACCTGTTCACTTCCGATCAGGGATACCTCTGAGATTCCCTGGGTCCTGTATTTTTGGTGGCATTACTGTGGTGGTTTTATTTATTTATTTTCCAATATTATGTATTACTTATTATTTGTTGTTATCTCCATTCTTCCTTTTAAGTTCCTACAACAGCTGGAACTGGAAGTGAAACCACTGGTGTTGCCATTTTTGACTTCAAAGAACTCAAAATAAAAACCGGTGAGGTTTTGTTCTGTCTGCTATTCAAGACAATTGCTTTTCCAATGTCTTCATTATTTCCCTGCCTTGAAAGAAAGGGATACTGCATGTCATTTCAGGTGTCATTTTGTTTGATTCAACTGCCACAGGCAAATTGAAGAGCTTAAAAGTTTCCTCCTTTAATTAAATTTATAGCATATTAACATAATGAAATACCTATGTAATACAGTGGATTATAGTTTGAAGGCAAAACAGGAAACGAAAATCTTTCTCAAGTCCTTAAATGGCAGAAAATGTTAATTGCAAAGGAAATTTCTACTTACATTCAGGGTCAACCAACTGTTCCTTATTTCCTCTGTATATTTCTTTCTGCTTTTAAGACTTCTGTTTCTTTGTTGTGTAATTGCAACCAAATGTTCTTTTTCCTGACTTTTAAAACCTCAGGCCTGAGATGCTATGCAAGTGAGAGGCACTGTCTTCCTTTGGCCTTTTCATCCCTGGAAAATGAAGATTAAGGCTAAAATGTCATCTTAAGCTTCATAGCTGTTTTGAGGTTTTACTTCTAAACATGTGGGTTTTATACGCCACACAGTTTACAGTACTTGGGACCCAAATGGGTGTGCTGAGGGGTTCTGACCATAGCTCAGAGTTTTCTGATCTATACGTAGTCAATCAGTCTGTGTCTGTCTGTCTGTATGTATGTCTCTCTCTTTCAAAGCTACATCTGTGCCCCCTTAACCAAAATATGAAGGCATGGTTATTACAGATGCTCAAGACAGCAATTAGCAAACATAACTGATTGTAGACACAAACCAGTCTTGCCCTCTGATTGTCCATGGAAGATACAAATCTAAGAATACTGTTGCAGATGCTACTCAGCACAAACATTTTGAAAGCATAGGCTGCTCAGGGAGGATTACAAATGGAAAGAGAATATTGTCTGATGTAATTAATTTCATGCAAAAGTGTCAAATCATATAACTCTCTTACAGGGAATTCATCATCAGGACTCACATTCATAGATACTTCTTGCTCTCCCTTCTCTCTCTCTGCTTTTATTTTCATAGTTTCAAATCATATCCCCTCATTATTGTTACTTTTTGAACATTAAGCTTGTCTTGTCCTATTTTGCTGCAAAAAAACTTTAACTCATTTTCTTCACTTATGTATTGCAGGTATTGCTTCAAGAGCCATTAAGCCAACATTAGGCATCATTGATCCTTTACACACACTCTCTATGCCTGAACGAATAGTGGCCAACAGTGGCTTCGATGTGCTTTGGTGAGTTTTCTGTGTAGGCTGCTACTTGAATTTATTACAGTTTTGTGGGTCTTACTATGATGGTTGTAGAAAAAAAATATTTTAGGAGCAGAAAAGGATGATCTTTGGTTTTTCTCCCTTTCCTGTTCTTGTTAATGTAATCTCTGTTATACTTTCCTCTTACTTGATTTCACTACCTCCCTCAGAATGTATGCAAACAAATCACTCATTTGCAGAAATTTTAATATTTTTGCAGTGCACTGGAGAAACCGTTAGTTTCCAGGATGGTTGTTGTCAGGGAAGAGGTCCAGGTTTCCCTTTTTGAGAGATCATGTAGATGATTAATCACAGTTGCAACAGCATTTTTCATGTCTCACAGACATGGCAGGGGATAGACAACAAGGGTTTTCTAATAAAAGCCATGATGTGGCAACAAAAATTTGTGAAGGCTTGTGGGATGCTGGCAGGTCTTAGCCCAATTATGACCCTCTTCAGAACCTCTCTCATAATTTGCTTTTCACTTGGCACAAAATTTTCTTCATCTTAAACCTACAGCTTTTAACTGCACAAAATGCATGGAAACTTTTGTTTGGAAGGCCAGAGCTGCTGGGTGCTGTGAATATTAAAATAATAGATGTATAAGGAAAGCTTGGTGAAGTATCCTGAACTACATTTTCTGTAATGGAATTGAGGCATTTATCCATAAATGAAAATGGTTTGTCTGTAACTTTGTACATTTAAATGTAGCAACGTAGGCAGTGCCCCTTCTTTGTGTGGTCAGATTCATGAGTATCTGGGAGATAAGACTGTTGGCAGTTCCACTTAGGTTAAAGAATTCCAGCCAGTAAGTCACCTTCACTGGGGGCCCAGCTGAAATGCCTCTATGCAAACACATGTAGCATGGGGAGTAACAAGAGGAGCTAGAGATGTGCACACGCCTGCAGGGCTACAATCTTACTGGCATCAGAGAGGTGTGGTGGGATGGCTTCTGTGACTGGAGTGTTGGAATGGAAGGACACAGGCTCTTTAGGAAGGACAGGCAGGGAAAATGTGGAGGGGGTGTCACCCTCTATGTCAGTGACCAGCTGGAGTGCATGGAGCTCTGCCTGGGGATGGATGAGGAGCCAACCGAGAGTTTATGGTCAGGATTAAAGGGAAGGCAGGGACAGGAGACATTATAGTGGGGGTCTGCTACAGGCCACCTGACCAGGAAGACTGAGCGGATGAGGCTCTCTATAGGCAGATGAGAGCAGCCTCACATTCACAAGCCCTGGTCCTCATGGGGGACTTCATCACCCCCGTTATCTGTTGGAGGGACAACAGAGCAGGGTACAAGCAATCCGGGAGGTTGCTGGAATGTGTTGATGATAACTTCCTTCTCCAAGTGACAGAGGAGCCAATGAGGAGAGGTGCTTATGCTGGAGCTTGTTCTTACCAGCAAGAAGGGGCTGATGGGGAGTGTGAAGCTCAAGGACATCCTTGGCTGCAGTGACCACAAAATGGTGGAGTTCAGGTTCCTTAGTGCAGTGAGAGGGCGCACAGCAAGCTCACTACCCTAGAGTTCAGGAGAGCAGACTTTGGCCTCTTTGGGGATCTGCGTGGCAGAGTAGCATGGAATAAAGCCCTGGAGGGATGAGGGGCCCAAGAAAGCTGGTTAGTATTCAAGGATCACCTTCCAAGATCAGGAGTGATGCATCCTGACAAAGAAGAAGATAGGCAGAAATGCCAGGAGACCTGCATGGATGAACAAGGAGCTCCTGGATAAGCTCAAACACACAAAGGAAGCCTACAGAGCGTGGAAGCAAGGACAGGTAGCCTGGAAGGAGTACAGAAAAACTGTCTGAGCAGCCAGGGATCAGGTTAGGAAAGCCAAAGCCCTGATAGAATGAAATCTGGCCAGGGATGTCAAGGGCAACATGAAAAGCTTTTGTAGGTGTGTTGGTGATAAAAGGAAAATGTGGACCCTGGAAACAGGAGACCTGGTTATGTGGGACATGGAGAAGGCTGAGATACTCAACAACTTTTTTCCCCTCAGTCTTCACTGGCAAGTGCTCCAGCCACACCTCCCAAGACACAGAAGGGAAAGGCAGACACTGGGAGAATGAAGAAGCACCCACTGTAGGAGATCAGATTTGAGACTGGAATCTGAAGGCGCACAAATCCATGGGATCTGATGAGATGCATCCGTGGGTCCTGAGGGAACCGGCAGATGAAGTGGCTCAGCCACTAATTGTATTTGAGTAGTTATGGCAGCCTGGTGGAATTCCCACTGACTGGAAAAGGGGAAACATAACCCCCATTTTTAAAAAGAGAAATAAAGAGGACCCAGGGAACTATAGGCCAGTCAGTCTCACCTCTATGCCCAGCAAGATCATGGAGCAGATCCTCCTGGAAACTATGCTAGAGAACATGGAAAATAATGAGGTGATTGGTGACAGCCAACATGGCTTCACTAAGGGCAAATCATGCGTGACAAATTTGGTGGCTTTCTACAACAGGGTTACAGTGTTGATGGATAAGGGAAGAGCAACTGACATCATCTACCTGGACTTGTGCAAAGCTTTTGACACTGTCCCACATGTCATCCTTGTGTCCAAATTAGAGAGACGTGGATTTGACAGATGGACCACTTGAGGGATAAGGAATTGATTGGATGGTCAATGACTCGATGTCCAAGTGTAGAGCAGTGATGGTGGCATTCCTCAGAGATCAGTGTTGGGACCAGTGTTGTTTAACATCTTTGTTGGCAACATGGACAGTGGGATTGAGTGCACCCTCAGTGAGTTTGCCACACACTAAGCTGTGTGGTGAGTTTGACATGCTGGAGAGAAGGGATGCCATCAGAGGGACCTTGATAGGCTTGTGGGCCTGTGTGAATCTCACGAAGTTCAAGAATGCTAAGTGCCAAGTCCTACACCTGGGTTGAGGCAATCTCAAGCACAAATACAGGCTGGATGATGAGTGGATTGAGAACAGCCCTGAGGTGAAGGACTTGGGAGTATTAGTGGGTGCAAAACTGACTCTGAACCAGCCGTGTGTGCTCACAGCCCAGAAAGCCAACCATGTCCTGGGCTGCATCAAAAGCAGCATGGCCAGCAGGTCAAAGGAGGTGATTTTCCCCCTCTACTCCACTCTCATGAGACCCCACTGTTTTCAGCTCTGGGCCCTTCCACATAGAAGGACATAGACTAGCTCAGACAGGTCCAGAGGAGGCCACAAAGATGATTGTGAGGTGGGAGCACCTTCCTTATGAGGACAGGCTGAGAGAGTTGGGGTTGTTCAGCCTAGAGAAGAGAAGACTCCAGGGAGACTTTATAGCAGCCTTCCAGTACTTAAAGGGGCCCACAAGAAAGATGGGGAGGGACTCTCTATTAGGGAGTGTAGGGATACAATGAGGGGTAATGGCTTTAAACTGAAAGAGGATAGATTTAGATTCAATATAAGGAGTGAATTCTTTACTGGGAGGGTGGTGAGACACTGGAACAGGTTGCCCAGAAAGGTTGTGGATGCCCCTCTCTGGAAGTGTTCAAGGCTGGGCTGGATGGGGCTTTGAGCAACCTGATTTAGCAGATGGTGTCCCTGTCCATGGCAGTGGGATTGGAACTAATGATCTTTAAGGTCTCTTCCAACCCAAACAGTTCTATGATTTTATGATAAATAACATATTCTTAATTTTTTAAAGGTCAATACTTCTAAAAGCAAGGCAGCTTACAATCCTTCCAGTGCTAAAGCCTCTTAAGATTCCTGTCCTACAGAAAGGAAATGCACTCACTGCAGATGTACAGTGCTCTTCAGTGAAGAGCGTTACACACCAAGATGCGAGTTCGTCCAGCCTAACTTTAAGCATAGTGTGAGCTGATAGATTGTGACTGTGCCTGGATTGCCTTCTGTGTGTTTGTTGTAGAGTGAAGCGCTCTGGAGGTGTCTGCCCGGCGTTCTCCCAGTTGTCTGGAGATTGCATCTCTATTTTTGGCAACTGTTAAACACCAGAAGTAAATAAGAAGAACCTGCATTCAAAGAACAGCAGCGCAGTAAAATAGAGCTATCCCACTTAAATAATTTGGTTTTAATCTTTCTTTTAGCCATGCTCTTGAATCGTACACTGCTCTTCCTTACAACATGCGCAGTCCCTGCCCTTCAAATCCAATCAACCGACCAGCGTACCAAGGCAGCAACCCCATCAGTGATGTCTGGGCTCTTCACGCGCTGCGCATTGTGGCTAAATATTTGAAAAGGTAATATGTTTAACAGCCATGTCCCTTGCAGTATGTTCAGCCTTCGGTGTCCAAAAAGGGATACTTAGAAGAACTCGAATTTTAGTGTAAATTAAGGCAAACTACGACAGTAACCCTTCATTTTCTACCCTGGATTTCTCTTAAATAAAGTAAAAAGTTTTTCAAATAAAATTGAAATTAAATTTAGGGTTACTAGGTTGTCTTGAGGAGATAGCTTTCTAATGCCTCTGTGTATCTATTTTAGAAGTCCTCAGTTAAAGGTATTTCAAACTGCTCGGTTAATGTAGGAGCAGCAGTCATATATTTTTTCAAGAATCCTCTTACTGTAACAGTATAAAGGTAATATGTAACAAACTGAATAAATACTGCTGATGGAATTTCTGTGACCTTCAGTGTAAATTAAGATACTTAAACATCCATCAAGAAGGTAACCACATGCACTTATGAATGTGCAAAATTATGCATTTACTGAAAACTAGTTCATACTTAGAAGACCTTCAATTTAGATTAAGTTTTGACGTAACTGTGAGTTCATTTTGATCCCTAGCAATAACGTTTTAGCCTGTATATAGCTTTTGTGTATTGTGTGCCCTTCTATTGAAGATCAATATGGGTTTTTTTGTAAAAGACTTTTTATAGTACCTAGCTAGTCAAAGTGGTTGTTTATTGTTCCTTTGGAATCTATTCTTGAGACTTTTTCTCCATACTGTCAAACTACACAAGCAGTCTGATGTGTAGGAAGGCAAGGAACACTGTCCTCTTCCTGCACAGGTGGTGGGGTCCAGACCTCCACCTAATGAGATGGTGAGAAAGCTGGAGTGATCTTGGAGCTGTACATAGGATTGCCAAAGCTGCCGAGTAGAATGGTTTAAAACACCACTGAGGTGAATATGGCTAAATTCACTCTATTTACTCAGTTTTTGGAGAAGTGAAAGGAAACTTCCCCTTCACTGAACCAGTGTGATCTACTTACTGATCCAGGAGTAGGATTGTTCTCTGATGTGTGACTTGATCCTATTTCCAAAATTTTTATCTCAGCTTATCTTAGAGGTTTTTATATATCTGTCTGTAAAGAAACCCTCTCTCCTTTCTCTATCCTGAATTACCAATCTATTTGTGAATTCACTGGTATCATTGTCTCCATGTTGCACAGAGCCATCAGAAACCCTGAAGACCGTGAAGCAAGAGCCAGCATGCACCTAGCAAGTGCTTTTGCTGGTATTGGCTTTGGCAATGCTGGTGTTCATCTCTGGTGAGTACAGAAAAATGTTAACCCCATCTGAGGTCAGCTTCTAGATAGTGTTTCAGATTGTCAAAGACCTTGCTGCCTTTGTTGAATATATAGTAAGATGTTGTAGCCTGACTTGTGATGCAGGGGGAGCCACGTGTTGTGAGGAATTTGTGTATACGAGGATTGTGTATTCTGGCTTGTGATACTCAAATCCAATCATGTAAAAATTACAAAACACGGCCTTCTTTACCTTCCTTGATAGTAAAAATAATGGTTAGAAAAAAAAAAATCAATGGCATTTAAAATGTTGGATTTCATGACAGCCATTCTGCAGTGAGAGAGCAATGAGGTAATCTTGCACCATTCCTCAACTACTGCAATTGTCTGTAAGTTTGTCTGTGGGGTAGGCATTCAGCAAGCTGAAATAAGCTGTAATTAATATTTCAAGGCAATGTATTTTCATATGGGTGAAAATCTCAGAGAAGCAAAGCCTTAGCCTGAAATGTGTGGAGAAGTTATTAGTAGTCATTCTCTTCAGAGACCTTCCTTTCATTCATTTTTGTTTGAGCAAATCCACTCTTTAATTGTACTTTTAAATTAATGTTTAGTTTTCTCAGGCAGTGTAATCAGGTAGGGATGCAGGTTATGCTATTTTTGGCATATCTGTATTACTGCAGTAACTGAGCATCTTTCAGTCCAGTCAGTGGAGTAGTATAACTTCACCCTTGCAAAGTAGGGAGGTACTGTTTTTTACAGCTAGGTCCCTAAAGTGCAGAGAGGTGAGGGTTGTCTGTACCTAATATCCATACCATACCTTTACCTAAATACCTTTTGATTATCTGTACCTAAGAGACTTGCAGAAGACTGACCACACAAGGGACTGAACACAAATTTTCTAAATACCAGGAGAACTGCCCTAACCACTTTCTCTCTACTCTCTGTTCCAGCCATGGAATGTCTTACCCTATTTCTGGTTTGGTGAAAAATTATAAACCAAAGGATTATAATGTGGATCACTCTTTAGTGGTAAAACTTGGTTTATCTTTGTTTTCATATTACACACTTCAGTTCTCTGTTATTTTAAATTAATGAGCATTAAAGCACATCGAAGTTGAAAATACATGTCCTGTTATGTGATTTCTTTTTTTTTTTTTTTTCCAGCCACATGGCCTTTCTGTGGTGCTGACATCCCCAGCAGTGTTTGCTTTCACTGCACAGATACATCCTGAGCGGCACTTGGAAGCTGCAGAGATACTAGGTAGGAATCTCTTGGATACAACTTACTCATACAACTGGAATTCTTTCCAAAATGTCTTTTAAGGAGAAAAAAAATAAGTGTGCAAGCAATTGTAATTGGTTGTTGCAGGGGTTTTAAGTTTAAAAAAAACAAGATCCTAGAGTCTGAGTTGCACATAATACAAATTTAGGTAGAATAATGCAAAATTTTTTTAATGGATAATGTAGTTAGAGAAACAAGCTGGAGAAATTTTCTTGGGTAGAAAATTGGATAGCTGATCTGTTACAAATCAGAAGAGAGTAGCTGTGATTGGCATCTCTATTGGTGCTTTATGGAGAGTATTTACTTTAGATACCATAAAACAAACAAGTACTCAGGAGTATCTGTTAGCTAAAAGGAAGCATTTTGCCTAACAAATTCCCTGCTGTGCAATGAGTTAGGACAGAGTGATGTTCTGAAACACTCCTGCTCTTTCTGTGGCATACACGTTGTGGGTTTTGATCTTTCTAATATAGGCCTAAGCTTATTTGTAGTTGTTGGAATTTCTCAGTGGCTGATGTCAAGGGAAAGCATGAAGTAGCTGTTCTGTGGACACATCTGTGATGGCTGAAAAGTGGGGTGATGAACAAAGTGGCTTTTTCTGCTTCTTTGCAGAGGAAAAGTAAATGCTGCAAGCTGACAGCTCATTTAAAGGTTACCTTTTCATGCAGTGCTTTGTTATCTGTACAACCCTACACCAGAAGGTGTCCTAGACTCTGTGTTGTAGCTAAATTGCTGTTAATATCGGTGCTCGCTAAGGAGCAATCACAGTCACGTGTGCAGCAGTGTTGAGTAGAAAGTGGTTAGAGCAACTCTCCTGGTATTTGGAAAATTTATGTTCAGTCTCTTGTGTGGTCAGCCTTATGTACGAAAGTCACAGCAATCCAGTTGCATGTAATGACTTCCTTTTATAAGTAATCTGAGAGCTTTGAGTGGGACTTTTATATAGACAAAATATTACAGTATTTTGAAGAGGATGTAAAACAACATGGTCAGAAAAACTACACTGGGAAAAAATTCCGATTATAAATGTTGGCTATGAGGTTGTTCAGCCTTCCTCCGAAGTATGTAGTCCTGCCTATCATCAAAACCAGAACACAAACCTAGTAGGAGTCATATACTAAGCTACAGAATGTCTGTGCTCCTACAGCAATAACATAACTCAAAGCAGACTAAGAAAATGTTTCTGGATAACTGACCAGCTGAGCATATCAGAGAATTTGAACTCTGGCTCCTTGTTTTTAAAACAAGTGGTTGAAAAGCAGTTCCTTCAGGTTTTGCGGTATGAAGTGCTGCCATAAATTCTGTCTCTAAAAGCTCTGTTAATTGTCAATAGAAATTTAAACTACATTATTTTCTGCCTTGCTGTAAAGGGACTTAGCTGAAAACAAGTCACGTGGAATTGAATTTGTTAATTGCCACCTGGGGTGTTTACTTCTGATTCCAGTCCAGAGTCCAACTGACTACAGTAGCTGATTCAAATCTGTCATGTTTCCAAATGCAGTGACTAAGAAGGTATTTTATGACATGAACCAGATTACTAAATAGTTATGTTGTGTGTATGTACAGCTGTGAATTTGGGTACAGCCAGAAAAAGTTTAATACCTCCCTGGGTGGATTCTTAAACAGTTGTAATACATGTGCGTGTGGCCAGAAATTTTCTAAATACAATCAAAGACTGATGTATCCTTTAGGTTTAGCAAAAAGAAAGTGCTAGAACTATAGCAATATTTTAAAACTGCCCTTCACATTTACTGTCCTTTTTTTCCCTCCTCCCTTTCCCTTTTACTTTACTGTCTAATGGTACTGGATTTACGTCCTAGTTACTCCTCTACATGAAAACCCAGGATAAATTCAGACTGCATGGCATAATCACAATAGCATAAGACTTTGTACAAGACTCCATCATACCTTATCAATTTCTCCCAGACATTATATACTACATAAGTGCCAGTCTTACTACCCAAACATCTGACCTCGTCAAATGAGCTTGTTGATCTCGTGCCCACTTAACCCCTTTTGAATGTTACACTGAACTGCGTGAGGATCACAGAAAATATTTTTCCTGTGACTATGCTGTGCTCTTACTCATCTCTCAGTATGGTACTTGGAGCTGACATAGTTCTGGTGTAACATCATTGAGATTACACAGAGAACAAATTTAGCTCAGCTTACTTTGAAAAGAAATCATGGAGGAACCTGCGTCTTCTGTCTGGACATGTTTTTATTTTTACTTTTAAGTAAGTCCTGAACATTCATTGAAGAAGGGGAAGCAAGCTATTTCATAAGAAATATCGGTAATCTTTCATTTTTTACTGATGCTTTCATTACCATCTAGTAGATGTTTTAAGACACCAGTTCCTCCTCTTCAGTTCTGCATTATCCTACACAGGTCAGCACATATTCGAATAGCATTAAGTTTAGGATTCACTTAACCCCTTGAACACTGCCCTGCCATCTCCTGTCTTTCTCAGCCTACATGCTCTAGTCCTCTCTTTGAATATGTAATTGAACAGAATAGACAGTGGTTTCTGTGTCCTCTAGATGTCAGCAAACTCAAGGCCTTAAAATAAAATTAGCATTTGGCACGCTGTCCATAAAAATAAATACCACTGACGTTCATGCGTTAGCTGCTTTCCTCCCAGCAGTTAGTCAGACTGAAAAAGTGCTTCTCCCTGTAAGCACAGAGGGAAAGGAAGTTAACCTCATGTGGCAGTTAGTCTTTCTGGCAGCAATTACCTCCTTCTCCTGATCTTGTTTTATTTCACCTTTTCCAAACTATTCCAACTGTAAAATGAAGACTGATTCCTCTTTTTACTTCATGTTGCTTTTAGGGCAGTGACTGTTATGTATGGATATGTATTCAGCTGATATTATGATTAAATTAAGTCCAGAACAAGCTTCCTCTGCGCTCTCCACCCTACAGTCAAGGCATTATGTCTTATTTTAGGAGCTGACATCCGCACTGCCAGAATCAAAGATGCGGGGTTTATTTTGGCAGACACGCTCCGGAAATTCCTATTTGATCTGAATGTTGATGATGGCTTAGCTGCAATTGGTTATTCTAAAGCAGACATCCCTGCATTAGTCAAAGGCACTCTGCCTCAGGTAAGACAGCAAGCAGAACAGTTTTTCTTGTCAAATAAAATAGAACAGATTTTTTGGGGAAAATAAAAAAGTGTCTCTTTTCAAGCAAATGTTATTTGTAGTCCTACATGAAAACAATTGAAGAAAATTATGGATAGTCAACTATATTTTGTTTCTCTGCACAGTTTAGCTTTTTTCTTTTCAGTGATATGGAGTGTATGCTGCGATCTGTTCTTTGCATGGATTCAGAAAGAGTGGCTAGGTGTTTGGTTGTGGATTTTTTTTTTAAATGTTGCATTTTTAAAAAAGAGGATGTTTTTCATAGACCTTTGATCTTTGTAGATGATGCTGCTTTTTAATAGCTATCTCTGTTAATTATGTATGCAGGATGGGTCATAGATAAAGCCTTAATACCAAGTGCTATCTGTTAAGAATGATCAAGCTCACTTTGCATTAAACTTTTCCATATTGAGAAGTTGCACTTTTCTTCCCAGATGGCTTTTTTGTTCCATTGACCCCCATCAGAATTTGAAATAAGGTCCCCTGGGATTATATAGATTAAACTTGTAATACCCTTTATTGTTTCAGTGCTCACAAAGACACTGCAAAAAGCAACACACCACTCCAAAAGCAAAATCCAGTGTCTTCCTTGTAAAAAGACCGTTTGATTCATATGCTATGGACTGTTGTGTCTATTTAGGATTTATTTCCACCAAGTAGCAAGGGAAGTAAACACTATGAAGATTAAAATTTTGTAGGCTGAAAGGTTATTTGCTTTTTACAGCACATTTTACCACATCTAGTTCTTCTCATTCATAAATCTCAGAACAACTTATAACAGAGGGTAAATATTAATATTCCTATTTTATACCTGAGAAAATGACACAAAGGTGCAACTATTTAGGATCACACACAACAGAGCAGTGGCAAAACCAGGAAGAAAACTAATGCCTCTGAGCACCCATCAAATAGGTTATGCCTGTAAATTGTTATGGGGCATTTTGAAGGTTTGTTTTGATAAATATATTCCTTCAAAACAGTTGAGTGAGTCACCACAAGCACAGCATCTCACTTGAAAGGATGTTTTGCACAGCTGAGGAAGGGGGAAGGTTCTTCACCAAAAGATGTTAAAGGGACTTTTTGTTTGTGACCTTAGCCCAAACTGACTTTTAATACATTTACTGTCATCTCACGGCACTGGTGATTAATTGTACTGTGTAAAATGAGATGACCTAATAGTTTCTCAGACCTTATTTTTGTATATGAGATATAACATGATGAAACTGTATTAGTATTCCTTAATAGTCCATTATTACCCACAGAGGTAGTCCCTACAGTTTAACCTTTAGTATATTTTTTCTTCTCATCTTGCAGTAGGTTTTCTTTGGAATACAGCACTGACCCATTCACATTGGCAAGGCAGTGTGGTGCAGTGGCAGTAGCACTACTGTGTGAAGTGTATTCCACACTGTGAAGTGCAGGCTGCAGGAAAACAAGACTGTTCTACTCTAACTGCTGGGATTTGGGGTGGGAATTCTGCTGGGACAAACATTTATGCTTGAAGTTAGAACAGAATTTTGTTTTCCTTTCTAAATGAGTCTGTTGAAACTGATCCTATTTACAGACAGCAGCGAGTCTAGCAAAGAAGGTCTAAGGTGGCTAGCCCTGTGCTAGTGTTTTGGAGGAGATGGGGAGGACTGAAAATGAGAGCTGGTGGAAGGGCTGTTCTCTAGCCCACCCACCCCCTGCAGACATCCCGGAGGCAGCTGCAGTGGGGCTGAACCACCAATGAGCCCGAAGCTGCACATTTTTGGCGCTAGACCAGAATGCAGAGTCAGACTGAGGGAGCCGGGGCCTCGCAGTCTGGGCACCAGCAAGTATCAGCAGGCTTGTGCAGAGGGAGTGCTGGTGCCTCTGTGTCGAGGCATACAGGAGGAGCATCCGTTTGCAGCCTTCTGTCGATATAGCTGGGAAATGCTACAGTCTGTCAGGGTGATCATCTCCTGCCACCCCATGTGACTTTACAGATAACTCTGGCCATCTTGGTGCACAGGGCTGCAAAACTAGTTTCTCCCTGAGTGTCCTCATATAAGCCTGGTGAATTTACTCAATACTTGAGCACTGAGTTGCTATATTTTGCATACTGTGAGTCTGAAAGAAACAGAAGACTTTTGCCCTAGTGCTGTTTGAATTTTCCATTTGGTTTCAAAACTGCATAGAAGAATCTTAGCCTTTTCTTTGACTGGATCTGCATGCGTAACAGTGCTGGTCAGGGATGGGAAAGAGATTGATTTGATTGCTACTGCTGCACCAGCAAAGCTTCTCGTGTAGGTAAAGTTATGTGCACAAAGCTGCACTTCTCAGACACATCACAAGCCATGCTAACCACACTGATTGTGGTTATGAACAGTGAATATCGAGCTTCCTCACCATGCCAGAATGATAATTCACATGTTAAGTTCACAGCGCGGTGGCCTCTCTTGCTGTGTAACCACATCCAGCCTGTCCACAAATCGCAGCCCTGCGGGTTGAGAGGGAGCGGAGCGGCTGCAGCACTGCGCTGCAGCGTTGCACTGCGGCACCGCGCTGGGCAGCGGGCTGTGCTCTGCGCCGGAGGGCGTCTGCGCTGAGCCCCCCACCAGGCACGGGGCTGGAGGAGCTCCTTCCCCACACCCCACTCAGTCAGTGAGGCAGGGCCCCTAGCAAATGACATCCACTGTCCCACATGTGAAAAAGGGGGGAAAATATTTTAAAACTTTTACTGGGACAGCCTCTTCCATGAGCGAGAGATTGAAACAAGTTGTAGCAGAAGAAACTCCGCCTTGCCAGAATACACCACATTCGTTTAAAGATATGGATTCCTATTGGGGGCCTGGCTTCTGTCTTTGCAGATGTTTGTAACTCTTCCCACTCTTTCAATAAATGTTAAAATCATTGAGTGTTGAAGGCATAAAAGTATTAATCATAACCAGTACGAGTACATTAACATTAAGCCCTTTCAGCTGAGTGTTTCTGCAGTAACTGAATACCTACACTACTGCGGCTCCTCATCCTCAGTAGTGTGGGGCTTTTCTGAATTGCCATCCCTGCCTTTGTGGTTATTTTGTCAAGCAGAGCAGTGAAGCATATACCTGAGTTTCATTTCAGTCAGGGGGACTTCAGCATCTGAAAATTCTGTTGAATCACCATCCAAATGAAGACCAACAACAACTATTTTGTTTTCTGTCTCCAAGGTGTCAGGCTATTTATTAAGCAGTTTCACTACCATCCCTTGCTGTGTATCTTTTTTGGAGTCTGAGTTGCAAGCACCATTTGCTTCTCCCATCTACAGCTGTTCCTGGGCTTTGGGAGATGCTGTATTTTGAAAAACTTGGTCCCTAAAAATGGAACTCCTAGTTCCAGTGCTGTCAAATTAATTTTAAAATGGACTGTATTCCCAGGGTAATATCCTCCAGTGTACTGATGTCTGTGACTGACAAGACCGATGTTTGAAGTACTTGACTTTGCAACTGAACTGCATTCTAATCTTGCTTCTATGTATTTAATTATATGCAATTTTAACTAATATATTCTTGAAAGTACTGTACAGTTGATGATGCTTCAACCTTAATTACTTGATTACTTATTTGCAAAATGTTTTTGTTCTCTGTGAAGGATGTTAGTACAATGGCACATAGTTTAGCTACTGTTTGATTAATTTTATTGGCACCCTTCTGTAATCCAGTTTTTCTTTAATCTTGCAGGAGAGAGTGACTAAACTATCACCACGTCCCCAAACAGAAGAAGACTTATCTGCCCTCTTTGAGGCTTCCATGAAACTTTATTAGCTTAAACATTTTGTTCTGAAGTGTGTTGTATTCTAACACAAAGGTAATTTCTTATAAATATGGGGCTGAATTTGTTATAGAAAATGGAAGAACTTGGGTACCTTTGACTTCTGTTCCATTGTACACTGCCAAAAGGCCAACTAATTCATCTTTAACTAAATAATGCTTTGAAGCAAATGCTTGACTGTCATTTTTTCATGCTCAGTAGTCACTACTATTAACTTGCATAAAAGTTGGAGGAGATTTCTCACTTTACTGAAGGCTTTCTTGCACTTCAGAGGTGGTCAAAAGTGGGAAAATGTTTTAAAGGATATTCCAAACCATTTTGCAAATTATGATCTTTATTTAAATTGTCCATGATTTTGTTTTAAAAAGTCATGCTATTTAAGAAATAATTGAGGTAATTTTTAATTAGGGAGCAGGATCTCCTCTGCAGAAGATGTCAGCTTACTGTATTCTGTTCCACTTTATCATCTTTTTACCATCTGACTTTGCTAAGAAGGCTATTGAAATGGGGTATGTTTTGTTGTTTGGTTAAGAAAAAACCTACACGCTTCACAGTTGTTTGGAAAAGGATTCCTCAAAGTTTGCTTTAGGTTAAAATTCTGACATGTATTGTCAGATATTTATCTTTCCTTTTAAGATCTGCATGAAGCATTAGTAGGAGGAGCAAAACTAGACTAGAGTATTGTCACATGCTCAACAGGAACTACATAACAGCAAGACATCATCCATCATGGTCACTTTGTCTCTGTGGAGACAACAGATCCCTTTTCCTGATGCATTCTGTGGAAAGAAACTATCAACTTTATTGTGCTTCTCTGTGAAGCAATTGCTTCTGCTGAGCTCCTGCAGGTGCTGTCACTCAGAGTGCAGCCACCAGCTTAAGGAAGTGGCAGCGTGCTGTGGTTCAGTATTAAAAAGTGGTGGTATAGCATATGGCTGCACAGTGCCCCATTGGGAGTGCTGGTTAAACGTGGGAATAAGTGTGCACGTTCAGAGCAGTTAACCAGCTGCTTGACTGTCAACTGAGAAAGGGAAGTGGGAAAGGGAGAAATGAAAGTAAAATTTTAATACTGGTTTGGTTTGGTTTTTTTTTTGCACATGGTTGTGTGTACAGTTCATTTAAATCAGATTCTGCTTCATGTTGGACCCCTTCAGCATCTGATTTATGCAGCTACCACAGCACAAGACAACCCCAGTAACCACCCCATAACCTCTGGTGTCATTATTTCTTTCTGCCAGGGAGGGAGCACTTTTCAGTCACCCTGTTGAAGTAGAAGGCTCTATACTTAGACCTTTGCATTCTTGTGTTTGTCTGGTAAAGCTAGCGCTGTCCTAGAATCTGAGGACAGATGTGTACTGGATATTGACATTGGATCTGGTTTAATGGTATTAAAATAGGTGAATGGATACTGCTTGAAGACTGGAAACTTTGGTTTTAACCACAGAACAGGTTTAGTGGCCACAGGGACTGCACTGCCAGTATGCCTCAGCCTGTGCTGGGACACATGTTTGATTTCCATGTCTTTCTGAATCTTGTCCTCTGCTGTAACTGCCCACAAGAACCTCTGTCACAAAGGCTGATGTAATAGCAAGTGGCAAGGGATTCATTTTATTGTATTGTGCAAAGCTGCTGTATTTGAAAAAACTTTGTACAAACACTTTTGTATATAATCTTTTGGCCTATTTCATCTTTCCACTCCTGTCTTTTTTCCAGGCTGGGGTAGCAGTACAGAGTCCTGAAGAGAGAATCTTTTTTCCAGGAGCTTAATTCATGGCAGCCATGCAGTGTTTAGGGAATATACTTTCTGGGGAACTGAACAGCATGTGAGTTTCATCACTGCAGCAGAGCACTTTGATGAGCTAGTTAGGAAGGTAGGGTATTTCCTTCCAGCATGCTTTTTATTTGCCATTTATGCCAGTACTGCAGTTATTAGCAGGCTGCATTTTCAACTGTCAGAACCTCTCACTTAACTTCCCATACCAGATAACCCAGAGCTCTTGCTAGTTTTCAAATTAAGCCTCACACCCCCCTCTGATATAGTAGGTTCTATCCATATTTTATAGATGAGACAAAGACTGATATAATGCCTAACCCAACATAAGCAGATGGTGCTGTAAGATGGGCTATTTCCATTTTCCACACCCCTTTGGCAGCATCAGGGTCTTTGACTGGCTTAAACTGGTTGTGAAATCTTACTCACAGACATCAGCTAAACAAATGTTCTCCCACCACCAACTATTAATTACTAGTGGAAATTTCCTGAGGAAAAATCAGGGGAGCTCAAGTCGCCCCACAGTGCTGTCTTTCAAATAGTGGTGGTGTGACAGGGAGTCACACCCTGGCTCCCAGGCAATGGTAGTTTTATTCACAACTGAACAGTTACTGTGGTTTTCCATGTATTATCTTACTAAATTACTCTATATTGAGATAACCTAGTTGGTCAAATATATCTGTATCTTTGAACATGCCTATTTTGTGGACAGAAGCCTGGCATTTGTATGGTGACACTGTAATTGTGAGTGCCCCGCAGTGGTTGGGCATGTGTGTGAAATCTGGGTGGCTTGTTCCTGTGACTTCTGTTACTCAAGCCCCCCATGACGGATCCATTATTGCCTTTAGATGATACTGAAATACAAATAACAAGTAATATTGTACTTTCTGTAAACACAAGCTTGTTTGAAAGTGTTTGAGAGCAGCGTTTAACTCTGTCATGTTAACTTCAATCCTACAAAGTAACTATGAACCCAAATCATTCAGAGAAAGTCAGTGTTCACTAGCTTCACAGAACACAGTTGATTCCTCCTGCAACGTTGTTTGCTTGGTGAGCTTGGCACTATGCAGACAAAACCATTGTATGTATTGTGGGTGACAACCAAGAGCTTTCCATAGGCTTTCCAAAGAGCTTTCCAAAGGCCTTCCATAAATAAAAGCATCCAAACTGCTGCACAGTATTTCTGTGAACATTCAAGACAGTTTCCAAATGCCTCACTGCATAATCAGTATATAGTTATAAGTACTATTACATATTTTATGACAACGCTATCAATCCTTATATGTCATACTTGTTAGCAGTAGGGCTTGATTGAGTTCTTCTCCCTTGTGGAGTCAGAGACTTAGTTTCTGCCTTAGCTGTAACTGTATAAAAGGATTTGTCAGTCTTTATAAGAAGAACAAATACCCAATTTATCTAGACCATGGGTTTTGAATAGGTTTTAAGTAAGCATAAATGGCAGCTCTTCAGTCATGACAGAAGAATGGTTTGAAGAGGCTTTAGGGACTTCTGTCAGAGTAGGAGTTACCACATTTGTGATTCTTGCTGCAGACATTGACCTGCAATTTCTCTACCCTTGTCCTGTATTCTCCAAGTTCTGCACAAACACAAACCTGACCTTGGCACATCTGGATACTCACTCAGTCCCTCTATAGTGATAAGGCTAGCTCTGAGGAGCAAGTATGAACAAGTCCATGTGTAGCGCTGGTGAAAATCGTTTACCAGTTGGTACAGTTTTACCTGGAGTACAAAATGGAAAGCCCATGCCCCTCATAAGGTACTGAGAGCTTGCAGGGTTGCTGCTTGGCATCAACAGAAATGAGGGGAGCTGGTACAATAGTTAGTCTGGCCTCTCTTTTTTCCTTGCCTCTTCCCATTCTGGTGCTGATTTTCCCAGCAGTTAAAGCAAAAAGCGAATGAAGTGAAAAATATGTAACATGCCTAAATCTGCAAAAACTCTCACCATCATCCTGTGTGAATAAACTTGGAAAAAAACACAGGTAGGTTTGTGTGTATGCTCCTTCCTTGTTTCACTGTCTTCACTTTAGGCAATGGGCTAAGGCTGTCATCTTCTGTTGTGGTTGGCTTTCCATCCCCTTGAGACCTGAAAAATGGATGAGAAAGAGTGATGGTTAAGAGTCACAGCCAAGCTATGTCTAGGCACTTTCCATAACTCTCAAGTAAATCTGCTTAAGCATCACAGTGCTCCGGGACATGTGCAGTGTGCCTTGGGTTCAACAGCTTCAACCTAAGAAATCATCACTGCATTAAGCATATCTGTGCAGAATGGACAAGGGCAACCTGATGTGATGCAGCAGGAGGCCTAAAGATATGGTCTCTATTTTTTCTCAGACTATCCCTGTGTGCTTCCTAATTAACAAGGAACTTAATTTAAATTCAGACAGCAGCTAGTGAATACAGGAAGTGATGTGACCATTTTCCTGATCTCTCTGGGAGCTCATGCAGCAGTACACAGACTACTTGTCTGCCACAGTGTCAGCTGGGCAGTGAGAAGAGGGTCTTCCACACCTACCCACCCCTGCTAAACTTGCATCAAAACCTGGTTCCATCTTTGAGTTGTCACTAGGCCACCTGCAGAAGAAGTTCCTCTTTGATCAGTGGTGGGGTGGGACTGTCAGTGACTGAATTTGCAGAGGTCTTAGCTCTCTTTGTGCATGTGGTTTTTTCCACAGGGAGTTACCTTTGATCTTGCCTGCAGTGTACATATGAGAAATCACGCAGGCTGTTTGTTACATAATGTTTAGTGCATGTTTCTTATGCGAGTTGCCTATGAGAATAAGCAGAAGCTTGTACTGCTGCTCTGAATTTCTCAGTGAAACACCAAAAAAACCTGGGCTGTCGTTAGGAAGGCTGCAGTTCCCTTAGATGCAACATTTCTGAATGCAGTTTCGTGTTTTGCCAGTTCTAGGCTCCCATTAAATAACCTACTAAAATGCCATTCATTTTCTTTTTTCCCCATTGTACTGAAACAGCTGCTGTGAGCGAGTTGGTAGAAAATGTTCTACAGCCAAATAATAACAATAAGAGGAAGAACCATTTGACATGCAGCCCAGTGGAATGTTAATAAGAGTCTTAAGTTAACTACTTTCCTAGTAATAGGGCGTGAAAAAAATATTTTCAGTCTTTGGTTTCTTTTGAAAAATTACATGTACTTGATTTTCAGAGAACTCTAAATTTAACAAATGGCAGTAGATATTTTCCTTATTTCTCTGAACATGGGAATTAAATGGGGGAAAGTTAATGCTCATCCATGAGGTAGCACAGTTAAGTGAAAGCAGAGGAAGAGTGACATGTATTCCTTGGAGAGCCATGTTAATTCACGTCACACTGTAGAGCCGCAGAGCTTGGTTCTGCAGCCGTGTGTGCTGGCAGCACGTACACCACCAAAGTCAACTGAGCAGCAACAGAATGCTGGCTGGGCCCACACTGTAGTCTGAGCTCCCGCTAAATGTTTAATTTAATCTAATACTACTGTATCATGAAATATATATGTCATAGCACAAACACTGGTTTATTGGTGTGGAACTTTGTCTCCATGTTCCCTGACTTGCAGTGACTTTGACCTACTATAACAATGCACTTGCGCTTTTCTTGGGGTACGCTATTTGGGTGTTTGACCATACTGCCTTAAATTAGCAACTTGACATTGAAATGCTGATTTACACCTGCAGTCAAATGGATAACACATGTTAAAGACTGATTGTCAGCAGCTCCAATATGTTATCGCTTCATTCTGTGGCATTGTCGCTTGCCTTTATGGGATTTAAGGACACCATTGTGTGGCATTGTTGGTATGGCTATGGACACAGCTGTGGGAGGCTGACAATGTGTGTGGACTATGCCATCTATCTAAAAGCTGACATCACTTTCAAAAAATCACCGTGAAAGTTTGGATGTTTAAGTGTTGCTGTATGTTTTAAGACAGCATTGGAAATAAAGAAGCTTTTTTGCTGGCATAAAAAACAGTTAACGTTGAATAACTTGCTTTTCTGACCTTTTCACCTTCAGGAAGATTAATGGTCGTTTAGATCAGAACTTCCCCCCCGAATCAGGGGTCTGAATGCTTCAGGGATTCAGACAGACAAAGAAAGTCATTTCACCTCTAGGTCACCAGCACAGACCTATGGTGTCTCTCTAGTGACCATTAGATGATTGCTCAGAGGTTTATGTGCAAGTGTTGGTGGTCATAATCCATTTTCCAATGGACAGGTCCCTGCCTCATGAAAGCTGTCACTGCGTGCTTATCTGAGCGGCAAGAAAAGGGAATTAACATGAACAGAGCCTGAATTGCATTTGCCTTTTACTATTAAAACCTTGGAGCCTCTGTAACACTTGTTTCAGCGGATCAGTCCCCCAGGGTCAAGCCAGGAAGGGTTGAAGTCGTGTCAGTGCTGTGCTGCGAGCAGTGGCACTTCAGTGTTCCCCCCTGGAGGGCTGCAGCCTCTGATCCCACTTCTGGAGCACGCAGGTCCCGTTCAGGCGCACTCAGAGTGACATGAATTGCATTTCTGGCAGTTGGGACATCCTAGAATAGCACATCCCACAGCCTTCATGTAGCTATATCCCAAGTTTAGTTCCTGGTGCAGTCAAGCTGATGTACTTCCTACCTACTGTATTTGTGTTTTAAATGGAAGTCCTAAAATTAGGACTACTCAGTTGGTAAAACTGAGCACAGAGCTGGGGGGCAGATTTTGACAGTAAAGTAACTGTCTGTGACTTCTCATGTCAGGAATGATACCGTCACCAACTGCAAAATGCGATCCAGGGACCTACCCAACAGAGCTGAGCTAAAAATGCCAACCTGGTGAACAAAGGCGGTGCGGGGTCGACTCATGGGTGCTAAAGGTCTGAGCATGTCCTTCACTGGAGACATCTGCATGTGCACAGCAAACAAGGCGTTGGTAAAAAAACTGACATGTGCAGACTTATGCATAGGGTTGCTTACAGCTGAGACATTGAGCCTGAATATATAACATGGTTACATGCTAGAAAGTATAAAAAGTTGAAGGGCTAGGATCTAGGAGTCTAACTCTTTTTGGCTGACCAAGTTGAAAGTATATAGAAATGTCAGACTACAGGGGAACATCTAAGATGAGAATATGCATTATACAAAACTTTGTAAAAATTTGAAGGATGTAGAATCTAAAACTATGGAGTTATTAAGGAGAATGTGCCCTGTCTATTGCAAAGCCTCCAAAACCTCTTTATTGTTCCTTTTGGGGTTTTTCTCTCCCAGGCTGTTGTGGTTTCAACCTAGCCAGCAGCCAAACACCACACAGCCACTTGCTAAACCTCCCCCAACCCCCGGGGCATGGGGGCAAGAGTTGGAAGGGTAAGGTAAGGAGATTCATAGATTGAGATAAAAACAATTTAAGAATTGAAATAAAATAATAATAGCAATAATAACAACAACAACAACAGAAAATACAAACAGGTAATGTGCAGTGTGATTGCTCACCACCCACTGACTGATGCCCAGCCTGTTCCTGGCTAGTGATCACAGAGAAGGGAGAATCCTAAACCCATCATCCTGAAAACCTGAGTGGAGCTTCCCAGTCAACCCTTACCTATATACTGAGCATGATGTTGTATGATGTGACATATTCCATGGGCCAGTTTAGGTCCGTTGCTTTGGCTCTGCTCCCCCCCAGCTTCTTGTGTATCTGCGCATGGGCAGGATACGAGAAGTTGAAAAGTCCTTGATTTTATAGCAACAGCTAAAAGCATCAGTGTGTTATCAACATTCTTCTCATACTAAATCCCATACTGAATTCAAAACACATCTCTATTCTAGCTACTAAGAAAGAAGGAGAAAATAACCCCAACTAGTTAACTCTAAACCAGCTGAAAACAGGGCACAGACTTACCTCTTGTGCAGTACATTCTGTGTAGTGGACAGAGCAACTGAACAGATTACAGCTAGAATTGAATTAATAAAGGTAAGTGTTTAAGTGTAAAGGCTAACAGGACAGAGGAAAAGCACAAGTAAATACCATCAATTCTGTGAAAATCAAAGATCTCAGAGGCTGCATGACTTGAAAAGGACTGACCTCTATGTAGTTTATAAGCTTGAAATCCTCTCCAGTGTATTTGCAGCATTAATTCCTCTTGTTATCAGAGGTGATCTACTTTAATCAGATTCCTACAGACAAGTCAGGTACTTAGAGCAGAAGATCTTTGACACCCCTGCTGGCAGCGTCAGTAGAGAGGCCAAAGACCAAACCAGCAGGGAGACAAGATAACCCATTTGATCTCTCCAAAACCCTTTTTAGGATAATTGGCATAGAGGGAGTCCCCCAGTTCCCAATTCCAGGCTCACAGCTGTACAATGGTGTGGCCATTTAACGTACTTGTCACACAAAAGCTACCTCAAAAGTCCCACATTTCTGAGACCCAGCAATTCCGTAGTGGTGCTTCCACTCTCTTCTAAAAACTCCTCTGTCATGGTGCCATCTTCTGTGCTGTCTTGCTGCTTCATGTAGGCACCATAACTTAAATCGATCTCATGGGGACTCATAAATTTGATCCTGCTTCTGTGCCTTTAGTGCAGCTTCTCTTACTTCCTATTTTCTAAGTTTCTAGCACTGGTGTCTCTGTGTACTGATAATGACGCTCCTTGTTTTATATTTAATCTCATTTTCACAAAGAGCTTAAGCCAGCGGAGTCAATGCCATCTGATACCCTCCAAAGACCTTCATCCCGCAGAGCACGTGTGTTGCATGCAGCAAAAGGAGGTTGATGGCTGCATGAGGACACACTAGAGACAAGTGAGGTGACAGTTCAGGTTGCCTCATTCTTTAGACTTACCCATGGGAGAAATCCTAAGTAGTTTGTGCCTGGTTATCCAAGCCATGGATTTTCCTCTATGTGGTGTGAGACACAGTCAAGAAGGCTACCACTGCACAAATCCAGGAACCACGGGACAAGCTTTAATTAATATGCTTGCTTGTCTAAAAATGGTTATGTTCATATCAGTATTCAATAGTAAAAATAATCTTAGAATGTTTTAAAGGAAATAACTGGGAATGAAAAGGCCCCATCCAAAAATTACTGTGCTTTATCAGGGACCTCACTGATCAATTAGCTTGAAAACTTAATAAATTAAGGACAAATGTGATTAAAGTTCATCATCTTAATAAGAGATTGTTGTCACAGCTCGGTTTGGACATATTGCTCTTTTGTTGACATTTTTAATGCTTTCTGTGGATTACGAGTACATGACCAGTGTATGAAAGCTTGTTAAGCCTCCACGTGCTCAGCCTGGCCCTAGCTTTAAAGCTGGCTCAGTGCAATCCCTACTGCTGGCACAAGCTCTGCGGGACTTGAACCTTGCACTGCTGGGCATTGTGTTTCTCGCTAATTATTGTATGGACTTACTCAAGTGTGTTTTACAAGCTTAGGGCAAATTTGTGAATGTCCAATTATCTATATGTAACTTTTTTAAGAGGAGCTAACCAGGGGTTTTTTTGTTGGCTTTTTTTTTTCTCTCAGGATCCTGCAGTATCTTTCTGTAGCTAGTGGGGGGATGCTTCCAGCCTTGCTTCCAGGTCTGGCTGGTATTTCCTTTCCTGATTAGCAGAGAAGTCTGTGCGCTAGCCCTGTCAAACTGCACAACACTTGCAGCCCTCTCTCCTGGTTCCCTATAGTGAATTTAAAGTTCAGAAGGTTTTTTTAAATGCTTCGATCTTATTCCAACTTGGGTAAAATCTACTACAGCAGCTTCAAGCCAGATGCAAATTAAAATGTGACTTTTGAAAATTCTTCACTTATTCACAGACCTTTCCGCCATGTATTGCTACTTTAATTTTGAACTAGTTTTGCAGACTGCTATAAATATGAGGTGAAGTTATTGGTAGCATAACTGTCTCTCTTTCATTTAGGGAAAAATAGCAGATTATGTATGAGAAGCTCATTTGATATTTTGCTTTTTTTGTTGGTTTTCCTTTTCAGTCATTGGCAGTTGCAATTCTGTGGCCCTAAAATGAAACAAACCAATTTTCCTTCCACAAAAAATGCCACTTGTATTGCATCACTCACCAGTGTTTTAGACATGTCGACAGCATGCATGTGCAGTTTTGTCCCATCTTATTTTTAAATGGTTAACTGTACATACCTCTGGTTCACTATCCTATTCCAAAAATACCTGAGGTTTATCCTTATCATATTGCCCTGCTAATGGTAAGAAATAGGCTCAAGTGGCTCAGTATGGATTAGATTCGCCTCTTACGCAATAGGGTACTAGATCCAGGGAGAAGCCAGAGACCTGCGTGGGGAAGAGCTCTGTCCTCTGTGGGCCAGGGAATCCCTTGGCAATGCCCCTTGAGAGTACCAGGATGCTTCCTACTGACTTCACTGAAAGAATGCTGTACCGGAAAGGCGTTCATTTGTTTACAAAGGCCAGGATAAATAAGTTCTAGAGGTTTCTGATACTTATCTTAAAGTACTCAAAGTTTTAATTAAAGTTTTTGTAACCAGAATTTTCTTTTTTTGAAAAAAATTATTCCTTTAAGCTCACTGGCTCTGACATACTTGGTAAACAGGACAAGTGTCTGCACTTGTTTCTTCCAGACGTAGCTGAACAGATCTAGCCCATAGGAAAAGCACCCTTGCCACCTCCCCAGAGGGACATTTCACCAATTTATGGACTTTTCTGCCATGTTGCAAGGTTGCCTGAGCCTTCTGATTGCTTTCACCAGTTGTTTTTCCCTCAGCCTCAGCATATATCTCTTCCCCTTCTCCACCTTTCCGCCCACATTCCCCAAAATCAAATACCTTCCCTGTCCCAGACCTGCAGATCAGGTTAGATGGATGTTTTGTCAGACACCATATGTCTGTTCTTGTGTCCTGAATTGTCCTCCTCTCCTCAGTAGTCCCTGTTCACCTTTGGTCGCCAAGTTCTTGCACCAGCAAATATTTTGAACTTTTACTAACAACAATGGGAGTTCAGGTATTTGTTAAACAGCTATATCACAGCCCACAGCGAGGGCTTTGGATTCCACGTGTTGGCTTGGGAGTCTTCAGTCAAGGATATACCCCACTGCAAAACCTTTTTTGGGTGTTATGGCTGCAGTGGCACCACATAAATTAAATTAATAGCTTATTAACTGTGTTTAGCAGTGAGAAAAAAAAATGAGCCGAGTTTCTAGGTATTTTATGTAATTTGGGGAACAAAAAATGATTAATAGAATCAATAACTGGTTTCCTGCTCCCATCACAGACTGCACTCTTACTAGGTCAGTAGGGAGCTGGAGGGCGATATTATGTGAAATCATCTGATGTGGCTCTGCAAGCAGTTCTTAGGTTGGACACCGAGAAGAGTATCTTCCTCAAGTCTAAAATTACTGCCTGCTGTTTTTCAGCAGGCTGCATGCAGTTGTACTCTGTAGTACACTTCCTTGACAGGTATTATCACATCTATTTTGTAGCTAGATAAACCAAGACATTCGTCCAAAATACCTCACAGACAGCTAGGAGAAAGTAACCCAATATGTGCAGTCCTTCTCTTGAGGTCACGTTAGATTTCCTGCAAAACCCTGAGCACTCATAGTGCTTGACTACCCTGTAAGATCTGGGCAGAATTAAGCAGCAAATTCCATTTCATGAACAGAGGAAAATTCATTCCCAGATCCGACATATTATACTGGCCCTCCTGAGCCCTATTTTTCTGTCTGGAAGTGATGTGAGAGCCTTTTGTCAGCTCTCTGCACAGTGACTCATCCCCAGAGCTTCAGGTCCCTTGTAAAGATAGGTGTTCAAAGCCTACCTGCTCAAAACTTAGCCTATAATGCAGTGAGTGCCAGCTGGTAATCAGCTCTTGAGTCTCACTTCAGGTTCCACATCCACGCCCCTCCTCAACGTGATGAAACACCAAATATTTGTTCTAATGTTAAACTCTGGCTAAGATTTTAAAATATCTTTAGGTCATACCTATAATTAGGAAAACAATGACTCATCCAAAAGTGCCTCTTCTCATAGGACTCTGAATATCGAAAGGTGAAATAAAGGGTGGGTTAGATTTGTTATAGGTTGGTGGGGTGGGTTTGGTTTTTTTTTTTTGGTCAACTATTCAGTGTTGCTCTTCATTATTTTTTTAAAATTCTTTTGAAAGCTTTAAAGCCTCCCTGCATAACCGCCTCTGCTCCGTTCACTGCTGAATGGACGGTGCGCTGATCTTTTTCTTGGTGGGTAATGGATTTGGTTTGATTGCTTGACACAGGAACAATAGAGGGATAAACAATTGCATTCGCGCCCGTGCAGCTCCCCATCTGTTGAGTGTGTGCGCCTTCAGAGGGAGCTGGGCAGGGACAGATGAACACGCCAGTCGAGCCTGATGTTAATGACATCAGTCATACAAGCAGAACATGTGGCGCAATAAATCAAAAACTAATTGAACTTTTGCTTGATTATGTTGCCGTCCCACCGCCCATTTCAAACATGCCATGGTTTCCTGGGACAATGCCCCCAGCCCCTCAATGGCTTTGCTGCCCCTGGACAGCAGGAGGCTGCCCTGGGAGGTGACAAGTGATAGCAGCTTCTCTTCACTCATTTCTTTCCTGAAACAGTGACACTTTCCACTCAACCAAAATGCTTCCAGGATTGGGATGTGTATTTGACCAATATTTATTATTTCAAAGAAGAAACGTTACATGAATATGACAGTGACAGCCCATGTTTGCTGGCACTTTCCATCTGGGACTGTTGGTGGCAGACAGCTATAGAAGACAGCACTAGTTTTTGTGTTAATTACACACACGTGCTAGTAACGAAGGCTATTCATTAGACTGATATAATTTAATATCATTATTCACACTTGAAAGTGTTTCTGCTACATCAGTTGCTGGAGCCTGCAAGCCAAAATTTTCAAGCTTAGGTGTCCATGGCAGCAGTAAGTCACCAGAAGTTGAGGGGGTTGATTTTCATAGATGGGGAAAGGAACAATTTCTGGTGGGAGCGTTAAGGAATGAAAAGCTCTGGCAAGAAGACCCCTTATTGAAGTGCATAAATATGGAATTAGGCCCCAGAACCATCAAGTCATGTAGAAGCCCATCTATGACTGAGCCACCTGCCCTCCCTCTGCAACCACTGAAGTGTAGGGGGCATATAGACCGATACGTCTGCTTGACGTGCCCTTCTTTAGTCATCTGCACTTGAAATTTTACACTAAGTGCCCAGGATTCAGGTACTAGTTTGTGAACTTAAAAGGTAAAGCACAAAATGCTTTTCTTAATACACCTAGAATCAGCTCCTCATTATATGGGAGGAGAAAATTTTTATGATAAATGTGTTAACACAAAGTATTAACCCAAATTATTTTTAAAATCCTTGCAGTACTTCTGTAAATGTTTATTTACCTATACATTGACTGCACAGAACAGACTTTAATTATTAGCCATTTATTGCTGAGGATTCTCCAGACTGGTAAAAAGAGATGTAAAATAAAATGATCCTGAGTAGAGGCTTAAGTAACAGCTAAATTAAATCTTTGCATTAATAGTATTCATAGAAAGGCAGATGGGAGCAGAAAATGTTGCAATGAAGAATATGGAATGAGATGAGATCACAGCATCAGTCTGTCCTTTGTAGATCTGGACAATGATCACAGAGCCAGATTGGATTAGTGAAACCTATTTACCAGAAGTTCAGAGCGGTTGCATGAAGCTGAAAGGCAGTCAGGAGGGAGAGGTGGAAAATGCACCAGATTTACAGCTGCAGTGACGAAAATTTAGAAGTTTTCACCACTGTGATTTCATCCAAATGTGAGTACATCAAAACTGTAACAACTGCTACGGTGTTGTCTTTGAGATGGATGATGGGGTGTTTAGCATCAGGGAAATCTCTGAAGGTAGCAGCTCATCTGTTGTGCCGTGCCGTGCCGTGCAGTGCTCTGCTTGCAGTCCAGCGCTCGCTGCTTGTTTCTGGAGCTAATCTGTGCAGGTGCCTTGACATTGTGGCCGTGTAAAATCTTTGCACTGGCAAAATTGGGAAATCTGGAATCGGTGTTGGTATACCTATGAGGTAATTGCTAAAGTGACAGCTTGCAACTGTGTGGCTATTCTGTGTAATAGAAAAGAAAATGAAGTTCTTCAAGCAGTTAGCAGCTCAGATGAACTGGGTGAACTGCATGAATGTTGAATTTAAGTCTGCTGGCTCAATAAGTGGAACATTTCCAAAGCCATGCCCTGGAAATGAATGCATGATTAACATTAATTGCTTGTAATGAAGAGTAAGAACCGGACAAAGCCCAGTCTGCATTTGATTGAACGAATTAGTTTAAACTCAATGGCTGCATATTTCAGCAACAAGAAAGCAGGTAAAAGCAGGGAAAACAAATTGCGGGGGCAGATCAAATCTTAACTTGCAAGCTGTGAGCATGAGCTCTCAGCTGCTTAATTTCAGAATATAAGTGAACCATCACTGTGATTGTTTTTGTTGCCCAAAAGCTGGACTGTATATACAAACATCCTTTTTCAGGCAAATCCAGAAACATCATCTGCAAGGGTCATTCTTCCTTTCCTGCTCCCACTCCCTGCAGAAAATCATGTTTGCAGGGAGAGCCCTGCAGCCCCACTGTTTGCATTGCTGCCATTGTATTCCTGCCCAAGTGGGTCACTTCTGGCTACCTCTGCGATTCACTCTTCTTTCAATGGCTATTCAAGTAATTGCATGTTTGCTGGTGCTGTGACTTCCCTTTCATGCCTTGCCTTTCTTCAGCCCCTGTAAGCCATTTGCCACTTGCTCTGGCAGACGACAGGCAGTGAGTTGGACTGTGGCTCATACATACTCTGAAAATATGCAAATTTGTTACCGTTAGGCACATTTATGTGTTGTTCCTTGTGCACCAGCCTGGGTACCAATAACAGCCCAACAGTACTTGCTTGCGGTAGAAATCTATATAAACTATGCTCCTCATACTCTCCAGTAAAATACATAAAATATCAGAGAGACAACAATTCCTTGCATCACTAAACTTGTGCACTTGAGTGTTTTGCTTGTGAGCAGTTAGTTTAGTCTTTGCAGGAAGAAATTCCAGAAGGTGATTGCAGCAGCTTCAAAAACAAGTTACAATATATTCCTAGGAAAAAAAAATCCACCTTCATTATGTTTGTCTGGTTTTCATCCCACACTCACCAAAGTTTAAAATAAAAAAACAGGTCCTGCAGAAGGCGGCAGCAGGGATCCCTGAGGATATTACGCCATGCAAAACAGACTGTGATTGAACTGACAGCTTAGCACACTCAAGCTCTATAGAGGCAGATAACACAGTTGTGATGAGTTCGGTGTGGAAGTAGCCTGCCCTGTAACGGGTTGCTTGCAGGCACTCTGGGCAAGATTGGTCACCTCCCGTGTTACTGTCCCGTTTCACTACGGGCAGAGCATAGGCCAAAACTTTATCCTAATGCTCAGCGCTTATATCCTCACTGGAGTACCGAAGGGTGGCTTTTAGACAAATCCAAGCTGTCTAGGAAGAGTGACTTTGGTCTTGTACTGGAGCCCTGGAAAGCCTGCTCACTTGTTATTCCTGCCATGAGAGGAGATGAGTTTGGCTGCAGTAACGGGCAGCTTTGGATGACCTCCAGCTGCTTCCACAGCTCCAGAAATCTTTGCAAACATTAATACATAGCAGTGATAAGCACTGCAACTCCTGGAGTTGTATGCATGCCAAAAATGTAAAGGAAAGCTCACCTGGAGAGTGAATCACCCATCATCCCATAGCAAAACTTCCTGGCTCTTCAAAGCCTGTGGGTTATACATGAAGCCTGAATAGGAAACCCTCATTCACGTGCCCTGCCCTCAGCATCAGCCTTTAGAATTGGAGTTAATTCTCTGAATTTGGCAGGTTTTTGCAGGCCTGTTTCTGTCACTGGCTGCTAAATCCTATAGCTCCTGTAGCCTGAACACAGAGGAGGGCAATAATTTTAAAGAGCAAAGGGTAAAATACAATGAGAGGGAGAGCTGGGAGTACCACAGAGTGTTTCGGTCCAGTTTCTAGTCAAACTAAAACAACAAGTATTTAAACAACCTTCATGTTGTCCAAAAAAGCCATCACCCAAAACCAGTCGCTTCAGTCCAGTCAAAACCTTGGCTTATGGTCCTGGCATCTTGTGTGTCTAGTGGCTAGTGATTCTGTTTTGCCTATGATTTTTTGTCTTCATGCGTCTAAGAAATTGAGAAACAGACTTTAAGCAGAATGCCCCAAGTTAAAGAACCAAATGGGTCATTTTGAGGATTGAAAAGACGAGGCTTAGTGCAAATGTTGTGCTTTAGACATCATGTGGCAAAAGTGAAATGATGTCACCAAGGAGTTTGAGCTTATTGAAAAAGTCCCTATCTACATAAAATCCTAGGCCTCTCCAAAGTTAAGGTATATACTAGTCATGTTTGAAGGTGACTGGATGGAAAGAGAAACTCATTTCCTTCTGAAACATTGGCAGGTGGGAGGACAGATCAAGACCTAGGAAGGAGAAGGATAGTTCATCCTGGAAACCTATGGGAGAGATGTAGAAACTTGGGGAAGGCTGTTGCCCTGTGTCCATGGAAGTCTGTATTGTATAGGTAGAGCATGGTCTCTGAGATAACATTTAAAAGGACTTTCTTTTAGGCTGTTTCAACTGGAATCCTCCTTAAACCCTTTCTTCTTTCCCCCCTTGCTGGTCCCTGTGCCCCCAGTGTATTCTCATGGATTACTTTTAGAGGCATGTGTAACCTCATCTTGTCCACCTCCACTGCACCCTGACCATGTTCCTGTTCTTCTTTTCACAGCATGTAGTCCTGCCCGAAGACGAGCCAAAAGTACGCAGCACATCCTAACAAAGAGTGTAAGAAAAATCTCCCTTTCTCTCCCTCTTTTCTTTTTTTATTTCCTTAATTCTGCTTGGCTACACTTATCCTTAAAAATGCCATGGATAAATGGGAAGCAGATCTTTCAGGGCAAAGAAGTGCATCGGTGTCTGATGCAGGAAATGGGGTGGGAAACAGAAAGGGGAGTGTCTGTAAAGCTACAGTTTATTTACAGAAGTGCTTTGAAGCTTTGAAACTTCAAAAAACATGGTCTTGCTGTGCAGAGACAGTCAAAATGAACATAGCAGCTTATCAACATGGGTCATCTGAGGGAATCGCAGATTTAATTCTTATCCATAAAGCCCTAATAACAGTGCCAGAGGGACAGGCAGGAATGAAAAACAAACAAATACACATTAATCAAGGAGCCTGGGGAATCTGGGAAAAAAACACCAAGCAATGGACTGTAACCTTGAGTCAAAAAGATGGCTCTGAGACAGCCACAAGAGGATGCTTGTGCCTTGATCCCAGCAGTGGTTGCCTGCTTTGACTCCCCCTCAGTGCACCAGCACAGAGGGCACAGCTGGAGTTTTACCCCCTCCCTGAAGATGAGGTAACCACTGCAGATTCAGCTAACTGAACATTTTTCATGCTCTGAGAAAATGTTTTCTAAGTTTGGTCGCTTTGACACATGGGCATGAGGTTTCTTGTCTTCGGATACAGTTTTCCCTCCTTTTATTTTTCTCTAGCACTTTGTTGAATTATTTTATTATACTCCATGGCGTTTCCTTTTTCCATGCCCCTCTCCCACTTCCCAGTCCCACCCTCATTTGTCACTCTTCTTTGTATTCCTGATTCCCTGATCTCCTCACAGCATCACAGGCCCCCCTGATTACCACACTTACCTGTGCACTGGGAAAAACCTCGCCACATTCACTCCCATCTCCTCTCTTGGTTATTAAAGCAGATCACAGGATCCCAATACTTCACAGAATGTCTGTAGTAGTCCTCAGAATGTCTGTCGTGTTTGGGTAAAAAGTATGTATGTGTGTATTTTCTCAAATTGCGAAAATCTTTTTTTTTTATCCTGTAACTCAAGCTGAGGTTTCAAAATGACTCTTCATTCCAAATGGAGATGAAAATCAGAATGCCAGAGTGTTACTCAGAATAAGCCACTTTGAAATACCCCTTTTATATTTGTTATGCCTTTGGTATATTTTGTTTTCCATGTAATATAAAAATAGTAGAAAAGTCCAAATCAAAAGTGAACTGTACTGACTTCATAAAACAGAATGCACAGATAATTTCTCGATTTTTTTTGACAAAGCAGATACTTTTCCAACAAATTCTAACCAGAGTTTTCTCATAAAACTATCCAGCTGAAAAAATTTCAGCTAGCTCTCATTGAAATCTAGGGCAACTGTATGTCTGTTATCAAGTTCTGGATCTCAGCAGATAGATAGTTGTTTCTGCTAAATAGGAGCCTCTAATATTTAGTTTGGATTGGATTAGCTGCTGTAGCAGCACTATACTCATAAAAGCCTAAGAAAATCTGATAAGAAAGTCCCTGGTTTGTTGCTGTATTTTTAGAGGGTTTTTGTTTTCCTTTGGGGCTTTCCTGACCCCAATTAAAAATGTCCTTTGATTGGCCCTTAGTCATGATGCAGGCAGCATCGTATTAGCAGTGGGAGCACCGAGCCTGAGGAATGGTCTGCAGCTCCAGCTAAGAAAACAAGCAAGGCTCTCAAACCAAAGCAACTGGCACAGTCAACTCTTAGACTTATGCCTTCCCCTTCTTCAGTATGATGCAGCTGCTTACAGCTCATGTACAAGCATTCAAATTAATTTCGTGTACTGGAATATACATGCCTGTGAGGAAGTTGTGATTGCCAGTTTCTAGACCCACAGAAAAGTAGCAGAATGATTATTTATTTTTCACTTTTACCTCTGCACCTGCAGTCAGTGCTGTAGAAATGCCTCAGCTAACATGAAATCTTCTGCTCTGGCGATTGCAGTGGATGCACAACTTTAATCCTCAGCAAGGGCAAAAATAGCAAGCAATGTGGACATCTGCCAGACCTTTGTGTTTTTTGCGTCAGAAATACTCAAGCAGTGTATCATTAAGTGATTTAACATTCAAATGACTGACCTTGGGGGTAACTTCCATCACATTCAAGAACCCATCCCAGAAGCACAATCATGACTGTGGAAGGATGAGAGAAAGGGGGAAACACCTTTTTTTTTTTAATTGACTGCTTCACCAGTATGCTTATTTACAGTTCCTATTGCCCTATAAAGATTTCTTTCCAGTGATACTAGATCCTTCCCTTCTATTCCCTTGTTCTTCTAGCCCCAAAATCCCTTGGGTAGAACTGTCTTGACACCAGTACCTGACTACTTTGCAGAAAAATGGCAAATCCCTCTGTGCATTAAAAATTAGATCAGCATTAGACCATCAAAAAGAGCTTAACTCTACAAATTTGGCATTTCCTCCACTAACAAGCACTTCATTGTTCAGCTTCTAAACTTCAAAGTTTTATCCAAACCCTCTGTGGTTGGTTGGTTGTGATTTTGGGTCCAGGAGCAGGGTTGTGGGAATAGCCTCTGTGCTGCTCTGCAACCCTACTGTGTCCCCCATGCCCCACAATTAACACAGCTAATTCCAACAGCAGGTATGCCAGGCCTCGGTGCTCTCATGTGCACAGTAAAGTCCACAAAAGAGACTTGCTGAGCTCTGAATTCAGAGTCAGCATCCTGCAGACTGAGACGGTCAAGGGACTTCCAGGTTCTAGAAACTGTAGTTTTCAGAGAGCAGTTTACTAATTCTGCATAGTTTGGCTGACTCTGCTAGTCTCACAGATTAAAATTTCCTGGTATGTCTCGAGAAGAAAAGTGACTTCCATCTGATACTTGTGCCTCACCCTAGGTACCCTAGAGAAATGTCAGCTCCAGTTTAGATCAAAACTGCACTACAGCAGGTTTAGTTTCTTGACCTAGATAAGTCTTTACATATTACAGTAATGAGTGAGGTAGTCAAGCTCATGGTGAAACCTTGAATTAGGAGATAAGAAACTCAAAAGTGTACTACAGCCAAACGCTGCAAACGAAGATGTTAATTGAAGATGTGCTATAGAGATTGTGCTGTTGTCTTCAGCTGTAATGGAAAATGACATTGCAACTTATTTATACAGATTCTTCTGCCTGAAGGCATTTTGGCATTACTGATGACATGTAACAAGGAATCTTGAAAGCACAGACAACATGCCTAAATAATTCCTGATATTAATGAAGTTAAAAATCATGCTTCCTCTCCCAAAACTATTTCATCCTTTGCAATACATAGGCAGATTGTTAAGTTTCAAGTCATTGGTGGTTTACACTGATCAAATAAGCCACTTTCAGGATTAGACATGACTGCAACCAGCATCCTACTTACCAAAAATGCTCTTTCCATGACCATGCAAAAAACACAACCTCAGGAGTCTCGGTAGCAGAGAGTTGCAGACATTTGCTGTCACACACCAAAGAAGACTGAGTGTGACCAAGAGCGCTGCACATCTTTCCAGAGATGGTGGGAAAGGTGAGATTTCTAGTGTTCCTTGAAAGCTGGAAGAGCTCGGTTCACGCAAGGCAGATTCCAAGGGCTGTCAAGAGAGACCCTTGCCAGACACAGCCTCGTTGTATTCGTAACGAAGACAGGTGTCTCCACCGACATCACTGTGGTGATGGGGGGAGATGCCTCTGGTAAGCAGCTTGCAAGGGTTGGGTGGCCAGGGCATGCATGGACACAGGAGCCTGCAGCCTGCAAAGAGGGATGGAGAGGTCCTGGAACTGGTCCAGGGGCAGCTGGGAAAGAGCCAATGCCAACTGTTTAAGCAGCAACAGGCAGCCTCTTACCACCGGCATCATCCTCGTTTCTGAATCATCAGAGCAATGCTGAGGCTAGGCTCAGTCCAGCAGCACCAGATTCATGGTCAGTAGAGCTGGGGCCCAGCCACAGCCTCCTTTAGCAGTGCTTGTTTTCAAGGACACCAGTAGCTCCTTTCACTTAACACTGGGTATGTCCTTAAGTAGCTTGAGCAGGGACTGTGTTAGGCTCTGTGCCAAAATCCACAGAACTAAGAAAAAAACCCTCTTAGGTCTTGGATTAGCTTTGGTTGCCTCACTAGCCCTTTCCAGCAGTATTTTTGCTTGCTGTTGGCCAGTTTCTGCTCTTTGTCCTGCTGGTCAGTAGGATCTAGCTTATATAGCCTTCTCCAGATTCCTGAGGATACATAAAGTCAAAAGAGCAAAAAGCAGTCAGGTTTGGGTTTTTCCTTTTGCCTGTTTTGGAAAACATTGGTTTGCATGTGGTTTTATATCTGTGTAAAAATTCACTTACAAAGAATGGTGCAGCTTAGTGGCAAACTGAATTAAATCCTACTTAAAGGGACAATTTTGCATGAGAGGACATTCTTAAATGCGGTCTTGGTTTTATCTCAAGCATATGTTAGAAGGCGGAGCAAGAGATGGAATTAAAGTTTTTTCTATGCCAATAGCAGGCCAGTCAGCTGCTGGTCTCAGTCTTGAGACAAAATAACTGTATCTATATATAAAACATGTAGATGACAACTATCAGTCATCAGTTAAGTGCAAGTAACTGCTTTTCTCCTGGTCTTCCAACATAAGATCAACATAAGTAAGTCTAATAAGAAACAGTTTGAATAGTTGCCATGTGTCTTGTTTCCTTGCTGGTTTGGGTCTTCTCCCTGTTTTAACTGGTTCTCTGTATGACAGTAGCAAGTGTTCAGGAAATAATGAAAAAAAAAAAAAAAGGTAAGTATGAAACAGTCTTTCCCTCCTGTTGGGACTTTAATCATCTTGAGAAAATTGTTTCTGGACCATCCTGGATAACAGTCCTGATCAATTGACCTGCTTGGAGCCTATGCCTGGTTTTTTAAGCTCACATTAGCTCCGGCCTCCCCAGTTACCTGTGGCAGCACAGTGAGTGCCAAGGCTTAGTCATGATCAATGTAGAAATGAACTTGATTTTGTTCATGCTCGTTTTCAGAGACTGGGTCTGAGATACAGGCGGCCTAATGTTCAAAGATGCACCTCTCGGTGAGTTTTGTTTGTGCAAGCTAATGTTTGTGAAAATTAACCTCTAGGAGCACAATTATTCAATGCCTTGTATCTTCTGTAGTCATTTACCAGATATAAAATGTACATAAATCCGAAAGACAGGAGAGACCATGAAGAAACAACATTTGTAATCCACATTGCATAAGTTTAACTGATTGCCCAAGATATGATGCAGTAAGAAAATTAATGTGAGCTGTCTCAAAGGCTTATCCTATTCAGTAGGCCTTGAAAGGGACCACATTTCTGTCTCCCAAGGAGAATACAGACAGGTGCAACTAAGTAGCTGGGTCCCAGAGATGCCCCACATGATTTTCCTGTACCTTTATACATTTCATGTACAGAAGCAGGAGCCAAACAGAACAAACCCCACATATCTCACATTCCCCACCCAACAAAATCCCCTCTGGTTGGCAGTAAAGCAGCGGGAAGAGCAAGTTCTATGCAGTTCCTCCAATGACGTTGACAGACCACCTAATCTCCCAGGCTAGGTGTAACAATGGGATGGTTTTGCCTCTTCCCTGTAGGTGGTAGCCATATCTGATCGCCGGCCCCACAGGACAGAGAAGCTGACGCCCCACCAAGGTGACCTCCTCCAGGTGCTGTGCAGGGAAGACGAGGTGCGGAGCTTGGGCCATCTGCAGAGTGGGCAGCAGGGACCCTGCCCCTCCAAGGGCACTGCTGCCCAGCACGGTAAGACCACAGAAATGGCTTTATTCCTCTGTGGCTTCAGGACATTTTTAGATATTGCAGTCTTCCAGTCTGCAATGAAGCAGGCACTTTGTTATGTACCTGAAGGGTACTTCCATGCTTAAAAGGTCTGGTGGAATTAATGAGATAGTGACCTTGGCATTGCACAGCTCTCGCTTTATTCAGAGTCATAAACTCACTTTATTTAGAGTCATAAACACTCTCTTTCCAAGGGCTGACAATACTTTAGAGATGATAGATTGTGAATTACTGAGTTTGCCTGAGTCATCTTATTAGACAAGGTCCCTGTTCAGTTGCTTAGAACTTGCTAGAACATAATTATTTTGGATAAAAATTCTAGATTCCAGATGTCAGCCACAGAGCTGATTTTGTTTTTTCAACCAAAACTTGTTCAGCGTGTTTGTGAGAACCCATGAAGGAAAAACAGAGTTTGTGAATACAAAACCAAGGAAATGAGAAAACATAAATAGACTGGTTATTCAGCTCCTTCGATGCTAGTGTGTTAAGTTTGGATGGTCAAAGCTAGAACAGAGCCATGCAGTTTGGCAAAAGTGACCTTTTAATCAAAAACCTCATATTTTGCTCTTCTTTTTTTAAAAAAAAACCCAGATGCAGTCAACTCATAAGCCTTTGAAAAAATTCTGTATGGCATGTGTTGGGTAGAGACATTGAACATTTAGCTGTTAAAAGGTGCTAAATCTGTAATGTAACATGAAGGCACATGTTCTTCACACAACTGGTCTTCAACCTCACTGCTCATAAGCCATCCCATTAGGAACACAGACCATACAAGAGGGGAACTGAGAAGGAGGAAAGTGATCTTGGAACTGTAGGGGAAATATCTCAGACTGAGAACAGAGCCAAGAAATGGCTGAACAAAGATCTGGGCTTCAGGGTTGGAGTAGGGAGAGGCAGAGGAGTGGCTGGGTCCAGCTGTGGGGCATTAGCAGTGGCAGAGAGCCAGTGGGGGAGAAAGGAGGGACTGCTGGTCTCTGCTGTTAGGAGCCACAAGAGGTAAAGGATTACAGGTGTGAACGGGAGGAAAGATGTAGGCATCCAAAAAGAAGAGCAGAAAAAGGGGGAAACCATTCTCATAGCAGGAGAAAGGGAGGCAACTGAGCAAAGAAACTGGGATTATGAAAGGGAAAGAGGGATAAACTAAGTGTTGTTGTTTAAACCCAGCTGTCACCCAAACACCATGCAGCCACTTGCTTACCCTCCCCGACCTCGAGGAAATGGGGGAAAGAGTTGGAGGGATAAAGGTAAGGAGACTCATAGGTTGAGGTAAAAACAATTTAATAATTGAAATAAAATAATAAAATAAATTTTTAAAAAATAAGAATTATAATCATAATAACAGAAAACACGATCAGGTAATGCACAATGATTGCTCGCCACCCACTGACCAATGCCCAGCCCATTCCCAGCTAGTGATCCCAAAGGAGAGAGAATACTGAAATCACCATCCCGAAAACCTGAGTGTAGCTTCCCAATCAACACTCATCTATATACTGAGCATGATGTTGTATGATATGGGATATTCCATTGGCCAGTTTGGATCCGTTGTTTTGGCTCTGCTCCCCCCCAGCTTCTTGTGTACCTGCACACTAGCAAGGAATGAGGAGTTGAAAAGTCCTCAATTTCTTAGCAACAACTAAAAACATCAGTGTATTAGCAACATTCTTCTCATACCAAATCCCATACTGAATCCAAAACACATCCCTATTCTAGCTATTAAGAAGGAAAGAAGGGAAAAAAACCCAATCAGCTCTACCCCAGTCGAAGCCAGGACACTAAGCTTAAATTATAACAAAAAAATAAACCAAAAAGGACTGACTGAGGAGTGGAAGGAGGAAGCGAAGCAAATAGAACAGGACAAACTCACCAGGAGCATCTGGACAAGACAAACCTACTGCATGGCTGCCTAAGCTTGTGCAGCCTGGTGAGGTTGTTTGTCAGATCCCTGTTGCCCCCAGCACAGAAGATGGCATGGCAGGCCGTCTCCTGCAATCACTCCCCAAGGTCTGTCCACCACTGCCCCCAGGCTCCTCAGTGATGCTCAGCACCTCACACAGCCGATGTATTCCCCTTTTCTGGGTGCCTGCCTCATGCCTCTGACTGCGACACCCAGGAGTGCTCAGTTCCAGCTGCCAGTAAAAACTGCTGACTGAACAGTGCTGCGTCTGCCTCATAGCCCCTGAAAAACTGGATCCCCGAAATTTCTGATCTTAAACTCAGCACCTACCTCTCATTCCCTGGCATAACTCCTTGTCCTCCAGGAGGTGATGAAGCTGTTCCTTTAAAACATTTGTGCAGATGATGACCACAGTGATCAGCAATACAGAAGAGCCCATGAAAATATTAATAGTTCTGTCCTCAGAGGATTCACTGGTGGGGAAAATAAGTATAGGAGTCTGCACTGAGAAATAAAAGCTAAGGATGAACACCTGCTTTCTGAGTGAACACTGTCTATATGAGTGAAGCAGAAAGTCTGTGGCAAAATGGTTTCTGGTCACCAATTAAAGACTGAATCTCAATATCTAGATCCTTGGGGAGGGGCGGGTGGGAAATGAAATAACTTTGATCCAGTTACGGTGTTTTATAACTTTTGAGTGCCTGACTTTACAGATTTAGTGTTTTAAGGGAAGGAAAGTAGAAGTGCTTGCAAATATTTGGATGAAAATAAAAACAGCTCTTTGTTAAGACGTGCCGCAGTGTCCATTTTCAATACTCACTGTGCTAATAATACCTACACAGAGAATAGAGTGACATGAGAGAGTCCGGAAAGGTTTCTCCAGCTGTTTCTCAACAGATGGAGAGCCAGCATGTGATATGAAATGAGGTATATATATGGATATGTATCATCTATTTTCATTAATCTCTGTACAAATGTGACCTCCACATAAATTTCACCCTTCAGAAACATCCTTCAACTTTCTTACTGGAAAGAGTTGTGTCTGTAGAGTTTTCCTTGCTTGCTCCATAGATAAATACTGTTGGATATTAAAGAGTCTTCAGATCTGATAAAGCACAGCTTGTAGTTTGTGTAACAGAGTGAAAAGTTCGATTTCAAGAGTAGTGAAAAATGTGTAAACAAGAGCGTAAGTGAGACTATCAGCACACTCTTTGTTAGCATTGGAAACCCTACACAAGTATCAAAGCATAAAGATGGTCCATTCCAGTGTGCAGGAAGGCAAGTAAGTGTAGCGGGAGGCCACAACATGGAACTTCTGACTTTCACTCAAAGCTGTGCTTTGCTTCACAGGATGGATTAAAAAAAAAAAAAAAAAACAACAAACCTGCTCTTATTCCCCAGAAAAGCAGTACTCAGGCTTGTACCAAGTTTTTTTACCAGCACTCATCTTGGAAACAGGACAAGACAGAAAAACAGATGAGGAGCACCCTTTGTCCCAGGCTTAGGCATCTATAGCATGTTCTGGAAGTAGAACCACTGAACCTGAAGCCATGAAGACTTACTTTTGCTTAGATATTTTGCTAAAGTTTGCCAGAACATTTTCTGTGTCTAAGAAGAGGCACAGTCTGAAGGGAAGAATCAGACAATATAAGAGAGAAAAAAAAAAAAAAAAAAGCCTGGAGCCACTTGCTGAATACTGTTAGTACCTAATATGCAAGATGAGAGGAGATGATTGAATTAAACTTTGACATGAGAGATACAGTTAGGTACCTAATGGAATTACAGGATGGGGTGGGGTGGGCTGACAGGGAAGAAAGAGGCTAGTTAATATATTTATGTTCAAATATCGCCCCCAGAAGAAGAAAACAGTTCTGGCTGTGAACTCATGCTGAAGACAGCACTATAAGCAGCACCTTGGTTATTTCTGATGTTTGCTGTCATTATTTATATTCCATTGGTCACAGCAGTTGTGAACCATATTGTATCCTCTGCCTTGGTGAGTCCTGGTACTTCTGTAGATCCTTGCTCTTCACTTACCTGAATATCCTTTTTAAAAAAGAGCAGACAACTGAAAATGGCCAGAAAAAGGAAAGGAAAGGAAAGGAAAGGAAAGGAAAGGAAAGGAAAGGAAAGGAAAGGAAAGGAAAGGAAAGGAAAGGAAAGGAAAGGAAAGGAAAGGAAAGGAAAGGAAAGGAAAGGAAAGGAAAGGAAAGGAAAGGAAAGGAAAGGAAAGGAAAGGAAAGGAAAGGAAAGGAAAGGAAAGGAAAGGAAAGGAAAGGAAAGGAAAGGAAAGGAAAGGAAAGGAAAGGAAAGGAAAGGAAAGGAAAGGAAAGGAAAGGAAAGGAAAGGAAAGGAAAGGAAAGGAAAGGAAAGGAAAGGAAAGGAAAGGAAAGGAAAGGAAAGGAAAGGAAAGGAAAGGAAAGGAAAGGAAAGGAAAGGAAAGGAAAGGAAAGGAAAGGAAAGGAAAGGAAAGGAAAGGAAAGGAAAGGAAAGGAAAGGAAAGGAAAGGAAAGGAAAGGAAAGGAAAGGAAAGGAAAGGAAAGGAAAGGAAAGGAAAGGAAAGGAAAGGAAAGGAAAGGAAAGGAAAGGAAAGGAAAGGAAAGGAAAGGAAAGGAAAGGAAAGGAAAGGAAAGGAAAGGAAAGGAAAGGAAAGGAAAGGAAAGGAAAGGAAAGGAAAGGAAAGGAAAGGAAAGGAAAGGAAAGGAAAGGAAAGGAAAGGA